AAACCGATCCCGCGACTTGGAGCACTTATACTGACCTCAGAGTTTATCGGTGGACTTGAGATATTCAACTCGGGTACCAGTTGCTGCATCTCATACGACGCATGCGCTCAGTTTTATCCGCAAGGCGCTAGCTCAATTAGGGGCAAAAAGACGGAGAGCGGTCGTAATCGCCCCCTTTCCCCCTCGGCCGGGGTAGGGTGAATAGGTCAAAAACGCCCCCCTTAAGCGCGAAACCTTCTGACACTCAACCCAACACAGATTACTTAAACCTTTGGGCACCATCATGTAGCTCATTCTTTTTACTACGTTTTGAGACCAAGAAAAGACACCTGCGTGAGGTATTTAACCCCCCAAAAAGGTTTTCGCATACCCTTGCAAAGGGCGTTTTGCCCCATACCCTGGGTAATACGCCCACACCCATGTGCAAAGCGCCCCCACCCCATCTATCAACAGAAAATGATGAACATGGCAGAACTTGACGTCATTCGGACGTCATTTGTGGTCAACCTATCATAGCCTTTGGAATAAATTTTTGTTGCAATGTGTAAAATGGATGCCCGGAGGAGTCCTGAAAGTTTGGTGACGATATCTGCAGTCGTTTAGGATATATCAGCAAAAAAGGACAGGGAGAGGCCTTTTCGGCCCCGACCTACAGGGCGCTACCCTGCACTCTCACCACCGTGCAAAACGCCCCCCTTTCAGAAAACTGGGGGCGTCTTGCCCCATGCATCGAGTAGGCGTCTTGCCCCATCCACTCCATTTCCGGTCAACAAAATATTGCCAAAAAACGCGCCACTAACGCCGCAGCATAATATATTCAACAGAATGACAATAAAACGCAGTTTTGAGTGATGTGCACAATAGCAAGTTTTGTGATATAAAGAGGGCATCAAAATATTAGGAATCTTCTGTAAAAACAACAAAAACAACACCCAAAACCAACATCAGCACCTACCCACGCTGCTCCTCAAGACTCAGAACCGGAAATAGAGACTTACGTAAACAAGCAGCTGACTGTTCTGAAAGACAGGATAAAACACCTATCCGTCGATAAGAAATACGATTTTTTTAGGGGAGGCGTTTAACCCAGGGGTGCGTTTTCCCCATAGTTACCCTATATGCAGAAAACCCAAAATTCCGTTGAGGGTTAAGCACTGAAGTGATATATTATGATGCGAGAAGGTATAGGTCAAAACAAGTATGCACACGAGCGGATGTGAATAAAACTGTGTTTGAGGTATGCCTTTTTATTATACATTCGATTTGCTTTAGTTATTGGTAAGAACAGATACAACCAAGAAGAGCGCCCCTGAAGAAAAAATGGCGCACCGGACGGGTGCGCTTTTAAGGTCTAAGGTCAGTCGGGGACCTCTAAGTTCGGATCAAGCGCTGCATGTTAGGGTTAAAAAAATGGGGGCAAAAAGCATCCCGATTTTGGCAGCATCGTCATGCTTTGTCACGACACTCATCCACTCCCTCGGCCGAGATATTAGCTCCTTTTTGTATGAGTTCTGGCATAATCCCGCACATTATGCTGCATGTTGTTTGCCATGAAAAAAGCATGTTCAGCTACGTTCTACGCAGTACGCACTAACCTAACCACCATCCCATCATCCACCACTAGCCACCATCCCGTTCTGTGATCCCTTCCACCCCACACGAATCAGCCGAGATACTAGTCAGTCGGGCTAGCGCCATCCTCCCCTCGCTTCCTGACTGCACAGCGCTAAAACCCAGAGCCGAGACTTCCCGAGCGCGACCTCTGACCCCACGCGGTCCGAAGGGTCGGCCGATGCCTAAGGGCGCGCCGCGCGCCGGACACCCGGATAGCCTCTGCCGAGTCTCCCTTCCATACACCGTTTACTACGCGCTCGATTCATTCATGATTTTGTGTTTCCGCGTCCCTCTCGCTAGGTGGCACCATGGATGTCATAGGCGATCCCAGGAAGATTGCGGCCAGAATACCCCAAACGGCAGAAAATGAGGTTTTTGGTGAATATCTCGGAAAGTATTTGGCATACAACGATGCAATTTCACAGTCTCGTGGTAAATGTGCATACACATAATTCGGGTTGATACTTATGCATTTGAACATTATATAGGACCAGATATTTCCGAAAAAGCAAAACCAACAAGACTTTTACTGGAGAACCGTACATGGGTATTTAGACCCCTGTGGGGTAAAATGTTATGCCACCGTTTTTCAGAACTCCCATGGTTCTTCACGTAGACGGCTTTGCATTCTCATCAAAAGAATCCACACGATTCTTCCCATGGTGTGTCAAAGGTGGAAATAGCCGGTGCGCCGTCTGGCAACCCGGCAGCCCGCCGCCATAGGGAAATTCATGCTTTTTGTCGCTTTTTCGCTCCCTATGAGTCACTTGATCTAATTAGAGCTTAACTAGGAACGAGGCGGGTCAGTTGGACGTATTCGGGAGCCGAATACGGTGTTTTGGAGCCAATACCTGGGAAACCCTACCCGCCTAATGTGAGTTTTTAAGAGTCTGCATGCCCAAATTAACGTTGAGCGCGGCCGTTTTCGGTCGGTTTTCCCCGACCTTGTGGCGAAATCGCCTTATTTATTCAACCAGGGTGGGCTAATTCGCTTAACTAGGAATGAGGCGTTGAAGAGAATTATTCAAGAAATAGAGCTGTGCAAAAATATTTTTTGTATTGTTAACCCGCGCCCAGATGGGGTCTGCCGAGCAACGCGGTCTGATGGGGGGGGGGGGCATTTTGCCCCCCCCCTCAGATCTCGAGAACCACGCAACATAGCGACAAGCGGTAAACGGTGTTGGATAGCCCCAGCGGGGAACTACCTTGTGACCCAATTTCATTGACCTCGGTCAAACCGATGACGTCACAGGTCAGGTCAAAGGTCGACTTTTCACCGTTTACAGGCATTTCAAGAAATGCGTTGTAAAATCGAGTAAAATGCATTTCATTGAAAATCATCGATGGAGAAATGTTCTTCAAACACATATTTTGCTATTTGAGGTCACTGATACCAGGTCAGGTCACAGAGGTCAGGTCACTGGGGGGGTCACAATATGAAAGTGTCGTGTGATACATGTTTTATGGTCCATTTTACATGACAAATGCGATTATGTGGGTCAGACAGACTTAAGGGCCAGCTTAGGTCACGTTTTGGTCAAGGTCAGGTCAAGGTCAGGTCAAGGTCAGGTCAAATTAGGTCAAATTTCAAAGTTGATATTTTTGCATAAAATGGGTATCGATTCGATGCAGCTTGTCACGGGGAGTCTAATTGTGGTCTTCGTTTTGCTCTACGAGTTCTAGAATTGCCAAAAATTGAGTTTGAAAATTTGACGTCATCATTTTTGAACACATTTTTCGCTATAACTTGGCCAAAAAACGAGGTATCGATCTGAAATTTGGTATGTAGATAGAAGACGGTAGGCACTATCACATATATTCCGTTTTTTTCGAAACTCAAAAAACTTTTTGGATTTTTTGGCGAATATATCCAAAAAATGCTTTTTTGATTTTTGGGGTCAAAACTCAAAAATTTTAAAAATTCGAGATAGCAGTTTTGTAGCCCTGTCAATTCTACACCTTTTATGTTTGGATCATTTTTCTTTATCTTCAAAGCTGTAGTCCTGACAGGTCTTCTCGCGAAGGTCTTTTTTCGGTCGAAAATGACAGAACATGACGTCACTCTGACGTCATTTGTGGCCAACCTATCATAGCTCTGGAAAAAATTTTGGTCACAATGTGTAAAATTGATGCCCGGAGGGGTCCTGAAAGTTTGGTGGCGATATCGCCAGCCGTTTAGGAGATATCGACCAAAAAGGACAGGGGGCCGTTTCGGCCCCCCCCCCTACGGGGCGCGGGTTTTAAGGTGCTCACCTCGGTTCAAGGTCAGGTCAGAGCCCCTCAGGTCACGGAGTTGGTTGAAGAAGGTCATATCACATATCATTCGATTCGGCAGATCTTCTCGAGTCCATTTGTGGCTTTCCCGACTCTCTAGCGTAATTTGATCAGGAGTTATTGACGAAAAACCCCTATGACTATAGTGACGTCATAAATGACGCAAGGTCAACAATGCAAAAGTAAAGCATTGAGCCTTGCAAGGAGTGTATAAAAACACGATTCCATGCGCTTCAGATAGTTTTAGATTATTCCCGGCGCCAAAATAACAGTTTCCATATCTCCCCATTGACTTATAATGGTGATTGGTGAAGTCACGTAAACGACCTGACCTCATGTGACCTAAGAAAAAAATCCGAGATATACAGGTTGTAAGACCTCTGGAGAATACTACGTCCTGTAAGGTGCATCTTCCTGTGAAAGTTCCTCTGGCACTGAGAGCGGTGCGAATTTGCGACCTCTGGGACCGTGCAGAGGTTCACTTATGACGTCATAGGTCAGTGACCTGACCTGACCTGAAAATGCAGTTGGTGTCACAAGATCTGGCTTGAAGCAAAGACTAGGTATGCCAAGTTTCAGCTCTCTATCGCCGGCGTGTCCCGAGTATCCGGCCCCGGGGCGGTCATCCCTCCCCCCCCGTCGGTAGTAAGTTGGCGCAGACCCCCGTCGGTGTGTTAACAGCTGTGCATAAACGGCGGTGCTCCGCGCCGCCGCTTTTGAGATATCTGCGAAAAACCGCAGGGGGGAGGGGATTCAAACACCCCCCCCCCCCGAAGTCAATTTCGGTGCCCCTAGGGTATCTAAGCCATATATCAAGAAATGCGTAAACCAAAAATGAGCCTGATCGGACTTGTTAGCCGGCAGCCAGAGCCCAAACTGTGAACAAGCCAAAATGTTGATAATTTTTACTTTGGCCTGACCTGTGTCGTCATCGGTGACCCTGAGGTCAATAAGATTAAGTTTCGTTTAACAGTTTTTCCATGGCTATCCGACGCCGTTTGAATTTTAATGATTGGTCCATCAGTTTCGGAAAAAGTTGGGGGGGGGGGGGGGTCTGTAGAGCTTCCCCCCCAGTCACTTGCGTTATGGAAAATACCCTAGTCATGCGCGGGTTAAAAAATACATTTTGTATATTTTCCAAATCAACACTTGAACAGTGAGCACCGTAAACCAGCCATTAACCCTCGCCCTGGCAGGGGGGGGGGGGTCGATGCGACCCCCCCCCCCCTAAGGTTTTTCGAAGATAGCGTAAAAACGGCGGCGCGCAGCGCCGCCAAATTTGGCACAGCCTATGGGGCAACCTTTTTACATATGACCTGAAAATTTCAGGTCCGGGTGACCTTGGGTCAGGTCACCAGGTCAGAAAAACCGGTACAAGGTCATGGTCAAATTTCAATTTTCTTTTTGCACCTGTCCAACTCACAGTTTTGGACTGATTTCCTTCAAACTTTCAGGATGTGCTAAGTTCACCGAGTTGTATAACATATAGTTCGGGTTTTTTGAGGTCACTGACCTGAGGTCAGTTAGAGGTCATTACGTCGTAATGTTAAGCCTATGGGAAAATACTAAATTCGGAAAATAATGGCGATATCCGCTTCTTTCTATCACTTTTGTCCTTTGAAACCACAGTACCTAGCAGCAGGTCACTTGGTGCTTCTTTGCTCGGAGTACTTATCCATGGGTCAGGTCAAATGAGGTCAACTGAGGTCAAATGACGTTTTTGCCAATAACTTGGCACATAATGACGCTAGAGCTTAAAAAATGGTATCATTGTGTTCCTGGTGATCAGCCGAATCGAATGATATGCGATATGATGCAATTTGGTTAACTAGAACTTAATTTATTAAGTTAAGTTTACTTAAAATTTAAGAAAAACTTTAAGTACACTTAAGCAAGCTAAAAAGTATATCATTCGACGCGCCTTGACGTGCTGAGTTCACTGGTGCTTTTCTTTTTGCTCTATCTTAATTAGATCAAAAGTTATAAGCGAAAAACTTTTGACCTGTTTTTAGCGAAATTTTTACATTTATACCCCCCAAACCCCCCCTAAATATTGACCTAGAGCAACCAAATTTGCACAGGGGCGAGAACTCATGGGGGCCCACCTACCTACCAAATTTGGTGTTTCTAGGTGCCATAGGAGCCAATCGCGAGGGGGGGGGGGTCGCATCGACCCCCCCCCCCCCTGCCAGGCCGTGTTATGAAAAATGCCCTGCCAGGGCGAGGGTTAAACACCTTTTGATTTTTAATTCCGGGTCTTAGAACGCCTTTTCCGAACCAACAAGAATATAAAATTTAACAGTTAAATAATGTTTACGCTAAGGTCCTAGTTATAATACTGACGTCTCACAGCACACAAAAATATGCTATATTTCTCAACAAGAATAAAATATATACCTAAGTTATCCCCACACACAAACCAGTTCCATTCAGGGGCACACAAAAAGGTCCGCGTTAGGTAGGTATAGGTACGTCATGACATCAAAAGGCTGATTAGAGAAACTTTCACCATTCTCTCAGTCGATAGCTGACTTTTGACAAAAAGATAGCTCACATGCTTTGACTTTTTTTAGACAGAGGACTTTTTGGATGGGGTCTAGGTCGTCCTTTTCAAATTCTCAGCTCACTGCAGAACATTAAAAATCAGAGACCTCTTGACAGAACCGTAACCGATCCTCTTCAGCACGGGTATCAACTCCTTCAGATCTCCAGAGCGCAGAGAAACTTGGACTCGTAGCTACAGTCATAGTCGCCCCACTCGCCAGTCGAAAACAGTTCATCCTTCTCCAGACCATTGACCATGACACAGTCGTTCCCAGGTCCGATGTCGTCGCCGTCTGGCTCGGAGTAGGAGAGTTTCAGCCAGTTGGTCGGCTCCGCCTCGTCACCGTTATCCCACAGCAGTTTTCCGTCCACAGTCGGTGTCGAGTGAAGACCGATCCAGAAGAAATAGGCATCTTTCAGAGGCACGTTGGCAGCCAGCTCCTCGTAGTTGGTGACCTTAGTCAGAGAGGCGGTGGCGACAAGGGAGGAGCAGAAATCATTTGCCTCGGTAAAGGTCATCCTCTGATCCTGAAGCATGTAGCAGGCGTTGTCGTAGAGAAACCAGTCGTGGGGGCACCCGGCACTCGAGTCGTCCTGGGAAGAAAAATTATATACATATAGTTGATTGAATGCGTGAGGTAGATAACGACTTCAGAAATAAATAAATACGCAGAAACATATCATGCATACTCACTTTTCACAAACTGAATTTTGCGCTTAATATGGCCGTTCTCACGACGGCGATTTGGTACAAATTTGGTGCACATTTGGTGCACATTTGGTTAAATTAGGTTCATAGTTATAATAGGTTTCCAGCTTAGAAAGCATTCGTTGATTATTTGAATGATATTTAGTTATCAAACATCAATTTTCATCAAACTAGCTTAATGAACTGAAAAAATGCGTCAAAAACAAAATTTCCAATTAAACTAGCGTAGTTACCAATAATGTCAAGCTGCCACTCCGCACAATAATTTGATTGCCCTGCTGGGGGGGGGGGTGGGGGTGTTTGAACACCCCCCTTGTGGTTTTTCGCAAATATCTGAAAAACGGCGGCGCGGAGCGCCGCCGTTTTTGGTACACCTTATCATACATCAATTCTACACATGTTGTGAAAATTTCAGACCAAGGTCATTCAAGGTCAGGTCACCAGGTCACTTGAAGTGACCTCACCTCATAAAAAGTTTCAATGTCTGTCATAGCTACACCGAGTGACCGATCGCTTTGAAACTTTCAGCGATTGCTAAGAGCATTAGCATGTACAAAATGTATATCTCAGAATTTTGATATCGATGACCTAAGGTCAGGTCAATTTTGCGACCTCCCCATTATAAGTCAATGGGAGAAAATTGAAATGCGCCTCTTTTAGACGAAAGACATTATAAACACTCCCAAATACCGAATTACAAGTGGTTTAGACACACAGAACATGAAAATGGTGTCCGTGACCCTTGTTTATGCCCTGAGGTCATCTTAGGTCACGAATGGTATCTAACAGTTTTTCGCAAATAACTTTTGATAGAGGCATGCTAGAGCGATGAAAACACCTTAGATGTGTTCAGCTCGACGATACGGATCGACTGATATGCAACATGACCCTTTCAGGTCAGGTCATGACCTTGACCTGAGGTCAAATTTTCAAGTTGACCTTTCAAGGTCAGGTTATAGTTCATTCGATGCGTCTTGACGAGAGGAACACGATGCCGGTAAAAGTAAGCTCGTACAAGGCTTGGGTCAAAAGTTATTGCAGAAAAACTATTTCCGAAAAAAATCGGCTATTTTTGCAGTTTTTGCCCCCTGCAGGCAAAACCGTTGACGTTAGGTCAAATCTGAGCGAATTACTCAGAAAGGGCGTTAATAGGGCTATCGAATGCGCTTTTCCGCGGCGCTGTAGCTCTATTGGTCCCGAGGTCACTGAAAAAAGTTTTTACCATCAATTTACTAAGTTACTAGCTTTGGTAAATTTTACCATCAGCCTACCATCATATTACTACCAGCCTACTATGGTGCTGAATACTATCCTGCCTTGACATGTTGATATTACCATGGTTACGTTTATCAGGGGTGGTTTTGTACCCCAGTTTACAAGGTGGTAACCACCTGAGGCTAGTAGATACCCTCGTAAGCTAATATTCCCTACCATAGTAAAATCAACCTTTCCACGGGCGGATCCAGCAGGTGAATTCGGCGATCAAGTCTCCTCCAATTCCATAGAGGTGTTTGCCAATTTTTGATATGTTGGAAGGAGCGTCATCCAAGGACTAGCTGAGACCCTGAGCAATTAATAGTTTTATGGACGAAAGGCCAGAAATTTCTTGCAACAGTTCCCTGGGTGTGCTTCTGCTGCTATGGTAAGGTATACCATGGCAACACCATGACAACACTACACCCTTACTAACAATCCACGTGCGTCTGACTCTGCTGCAGCGGCGCCGCCATGTCAGTTCCGGCCGCGCGCCGGCGTTGTGAAGGTGCTCCGTGGTTTTAAATATTTGAACGGTGATTGTGTGGGTGGTTAGCGTAGCTGACGGTGGAGGATACTCGGAAATAACAAGTAAGTCGTTGTATCTTCAGCATAATAATACTTATCTCACGAGTGCCATTTCCAGCAAAGATCGCAGCCTTTGTTTCGGTTCATGTTGTTGAATTTCCTTGAGACCCTGTTGGACCGGGTAGGGGGAGGGTGGTGGGGTGGGTATCATTGCGGGCATTTCCCAGCGTCGGAAATCAACGTGTTTTTTTATTTGTTAACCCACGCCTCACTGGGGTATGTGCTCTAACGCGCCCCACAGCACGTTACAGCACGTTACAGTGGGGGGGGGGGGGGGGGGGCTCCTAACTCCGAAACTACTGGGCCGATTGTCAAAATTCAAACGGCCCCTGGTAGCCCTGGAAATATTGTTGAGCGAAGCCTAATGTCATTGACCTCGAGGTCATCGATGACGTCACAGGTCAGGTCAAAGTAAAAATATCAGCGTCTTGGCACTCTGGGCGCCGGCCAACAAATCAGATCAGGCTCATTTTTTGTTTGCACACTCGTGAATATATGCGTAACATAACCTGAGGGTACCGAACTTGTACTTCGAATTTTTCAGGTCAAGGCCATCTCATCCCAGGTCACGAAAGCTTTACCTATATCGTGCATCGGTGACGTGAGACATGTTTTATGGTTCATGTAGGCCATATATATCGAAATCAGTGTTGTATGTGTCAGTTTAGGCCATTTTAGCTGAATATAGCTGAGGTCAGGTCAGGTCACTTTAGGTCAAAAATGGTCAAATTTTGAAGTTGACATTTTTTAAACAAAAAAGGTGTTTGTCAGATGAAGTTCACATATATTCAACGCATATGTGTTCAAACACATATAGACCCCGTTTCCATGGGCATCACTGATCCGGATCAGCAAACTTAAATCGTATTATATTTCTCGAACTCTTCGTTACATGATATAATTCCAAGTGGATTAGGCTTATATAATCAGTTAATCCCTTATTTTCATTTTCATATTGTCTAACTATACTGATTAGCTAATCCATTTTTACTGATCCGGATCAGTGATGCCCATGGAAACGTGGTATTCTGTTTTTTCATTCAGAAACGTATATGTAAAAAAATAAAAAATACAATTTCTGAGTTTTTATATTATAATTTCAAATATTCAACATTTCGAAAGTCCGAAATCAGTTTGGTAGCCCTGTAGAGTCCACCCATGCAAAAAAAGGATCTAGCTTAACCCTCAAGGCGGTGGGGGGGGGGGGGGCATTTTTTGCATCCATCTTTAGTTTTTTTTTTCGATATATCTCCAGAACCGCTGCGCCGATCTTCACCAAACTTTCAGTACCCTTTTGCACATTGTGACCAAATTTTTTTTCCAAAGGCTATGATAAGTTGGCCGCTAGTCGGAGTGACGTCATTTCTGCCATTGTCGACCAAAAAAAAGCTTCGCGGGAAGAGCTGTCAGGGTCTATAAATT